TTGAGCTTGTGGTACAAACTTCTAGAAAGATTAATTAAACAGCATAGATGCCATAATAGATGAACATATGCCTGAAACAAGCTGGCTTCTGACCAGGTGCTAAGTGCAACAGGCTATATTGAAGCAGGATTCCAATGAAGCCTCAAAACCACGTCTGTATTTGTAGACCTAAATGAGGCATACAATTCAATTTGGAAGGGCAAGTTGTTATACAAATTGTGCCATATTGTCCCCTGCAAAAATCTCTGGTGACTAATTAATAACATATGAGTGATAAATTGTTCCAGGTAAAGGAGGAAAACATAAGTAAGGTAAGGTGATTAAACTATGGCCTCTGTAATGGCACCTACACTATTCAACTTATACATATCAGATATGTTGGTGACAAGCAACTGCAAATGTGGATATGCTGATGATTTGGCTATAGCAGTACAAGAAAAACACATGAAGGTGGCAGACAGCCTCCTGTCCAAAGATCTTAAAATGTTAGGAAAATTTTTCACTGACTGGAAACTCACTCCTAGCACCAGCAAAATGTGCTTCTATCTTAACAACAAACAAGCATATAAAACCCGAAGATCTACTTAAAGAACATCTTATTACCCTATAATCCCCATTCAAGGTACCTTTAAATAACATTAGAATGGACTCTCTCCTATAAGATACATCTATGGTGGCTGCAATCAATACTAGGAACAACATAAAACTATTATGTGGAACTAAATGGGGAGTTTCAGCTGCCACCCTCAGGTCATCAGCTACAAGGGTTGGTCTACTTGGCAGCAGAATACTGTGCCCCTGTATGGCTCAATAACTGCCATACTAATAAGTTAGATGCCAGACTCAATGACACCTTGAGGATTATAAGTGGATATATTAAAACCACTCCAGCGCTGGCTTCCTGTTCTGAGCCATATAGCACACCAACTTTACAAAGGCAAGATGCACTAGTGAGAGAATACAGAAAAATGTATGAACAACTCACTCCTGGTGTATGCCAATCTTCCTCATTTATCTGCAAGAAGACTCAAATCCAGGAAGACCCAAACTGGCATTTGCACATCTGTCCAGCAATTTTAATATCAATTCCCAATGGAAAGTTAAATGGGTCGCTGAATGCCCAGACATAGGCAGACCAATAAATGGCCCCACAATAAAGGTGCCAGGCTTTGAACTACCAGGTCAGCAAGGGACAATCCTGAATAAGATTTGCACCTGACACGTCATATGCTGGGACTCTCTGTATAAATGGGGCATAGAATCCTCCCCTCAATGTGATTGCAGGGTCCCACATCAAACTGTAGATCACATCATGATGGCTGTAAGTTGCGGGCATATACCGGTCCAGTATTTGATTTTTTATATATATAAACAATGCTGTGCTTCAGTGGTTAGATGGCCTAGATATTGATATTTGAACATAGATCATTTTAACATTTATATTTTATTGTGTTTAACTAATCTAGATGAAATGTTAATATATAATACTAGCCCAGGTATGATATGCCATATGCTAAATATATAACATGTACTGTATTGAGGTGAGTGTCAGAACTGTGCAACTAGTAGTACTATAAATCTTTATAACCCTTAATGGTTTCCTGCAGTGGTTCTCAAAATGTGATCTGTTCAGGAAATCTGCTAAGTCAAATAAATATTTTAAAATTTCTTAATGTCAAATACAGTAAATATCAATAGATATAACTACATAACAAAAAAGCTCTTTGGGGTCCACAATCATTTTTATGAATGTAAAGTGGTCCTGAGACCAAAATGTTTGAGAACCCCTATTTAGTGCAAGGCTGAAATAATGAAGCAATGGAATGAAGGAACAAATCCTTCTACTGCCTCCCAAATAAAGTATCAAACAATCCAGATGTTATTTGTGTTGCATATACAAGATGCAACAAAAACTAGGTCCCTTTGACAGATTATTATGTAATTTACATTAAATGTTCAAACTGGTTGTCATTATTTTCTAAACTTCCTTACTTGTTTGACACATGATTTTGAACAATGTACAGTAAAAGATATTAATAAAACATACTGTAATTGGCCTATAGGGCTTAACTTTTAATACACCCTGTATAAAAAAAGAAATGGAGAGACATCTTAAATAAACTAGTTTGCCCCCTCTAGTATTAAAAAAGTCTTATATCTGAAAAGTTTTTGCCTGCTGCAAATGTAATTGATTGGTATAATATCCTTGTGATTCAGGCAGGAAGATGTTGGAAAAGATAATCAAGCAACAAATCTGCGAACACCTAGAACAGGAGTGTCAAACTGCCAGCCCACTGGCTGGTTTCATCATACCAGAGCTGCGCCCACCCCATTGCCAGCAATGGCAAAAAAGCTCTGATATGTTGCGCAATGTCACGTGACGTCGCGAGTTTGACATGTCTGACCTAGAAGCAAGCAAGTTATAACCTGTAGCCAACATGGGTTGATCAAAAATAGATAATGCCAAACAAATCTGATTTCATTCTTCCACAAAGTGACTAAGTTAGTGGCTCAGCAAAATGCTGTGGACATAGTTTATTTAAATTTCAGTAAAGCATTTGATAAAATAGACCACAACCTAATTTTTGGCAAGCTAGAAAAATGTGGGATAGATAGCACCACCAATAGATGGGTTTGTAATTGGCTGACAAATTGTACTCAACATGTAGTCCTCAATTGAATTACGGCTACATGGAGGAAAGTAAGCAGTGGGGTACCCCAAGGTTCCATTTTGGATTCAATGCTCTTCAATATCTTCATAAACAATTTAGACGAGGGAATAGAAGGGGACAAACGTACAGACAATACTTAGCTGGCAGGAAGACAAGCTCAAGATCTAAAAAGATCTTGAGAGACTTGAACACTGGGCTCTCTCTAACAAAATGAAATTTAAAGTAGATAAAGGTTTTACACTTAGGCAAGAAAAACCAATTGTATAGGTAAAGACTAGATGAAACTTGGCTTAATGCCAATAACTGTTAAAGGGGATCTTGGAGTCCTAATGGACTATCACTTAAATATAAGCCAATAATGTGAGGCAGCAGCCAAAAAAGTCAATGCAATCCTAGGCTGCATTAATAAAGAGATAGAATCAAGATCACATGAAGCTATAGTACTGCTTTACAAAGTCTTAGTAAGACCACACTTGGAATACTGGATCCAGTTTCGGTCACCACCATATAAAAAATTATGTTGAGAATCTGGAAAGAGTGCAGAGAAGAGCAACAAGAATAAGAGGACTGGAAGCCAAAACTTACAAAGAACAGTTACAGAAATTGGGCAGTCTAATGAAAAGAAGGACTAGGGGCAGACATGTCAAACTCACGACGTCACGTGACATCACACAACAAATCAGGACAGTTTTGCCATTGCGAGCAATGGGGTGGGCGCGGCTTCCGGATGACACGTCCGGCCCGTGGGCCAGCGGTTTCACACCCCTGGACTAGAGGAAACATGATAGTAGTGTTCCAATATTTGAGGGGTTCCTACAAAGATGTGGGGGGTCAAATTATTTTCCAAAGTAACCAAAGGCAAGACAAGAAACAGTGGATGGAAACTAACCAAGGAGAGAAACAACCTAGAACTAAAAAAATTTCCTAATGGTGAGTGCAATCAGCCAATGGAACAACTTGCTTCAGAAGTTGTGGGTGCTCCATCAGTGGAGGCTTTCAAAAAGAGACTGGACAGCCAATTATCTAAAATGATATATAGGGTTTCCTGCTCAAGCAGAGGACTAGAAGACCTCCAAGGTCCCTTCCAACTCTATTATTTTCTCTGTTCTATGAGCTGGAAGAGTTGTGGTTACATAAATTTGCAGAAGTAACTATCAACCATCAATCAATAACCTAATCCTAATCTAACCTTAACCCATGGTGGGAGGGGGGAGAAAAATGTGAGATAGCCAAAATAAATTAATGCAGCCCACGGATACATGAAATTCACTGGCAGATACCTTCATTACAGTACCTTGAAAAAAGTCTTCATACGTTATGACACATTGGGGCTTAGAAAGCAAATGAGTGACGATAGATTTGAATTTTGCAGAAAGAATTGCTCCATTCCTGCTGCAGCTCTATGATTGGTTGATGTTTTTTACACCAGTTACTAATGTGGAAAAGAATGATTTTCTTTATATGATAATTTGTAACAGGAGCATAGATATTTAATGATAGATCACAACTAGGCAAAGCTCTTGATTATTTCCTATTGACTTTTAACAATCCCACAGTAAATATCCTGGATGATCTACCCCTAATTTGCCCCTTCAGGCCTTCTAATAGCACATCCATCGCTGCTGTAAATTGACTTTGCTTCTGATTGTCTTATTCTTTTTCTTTCCTTTGTTCTCAGCATAATGGGCTTCTCAAGAAAGCAAATTCTTCATGTAATGTGTCCAAAATATAATTTGGGCCTGATTATTTCTGCCTCAAGTAAGAAGTCTAAAATTGATTGGTTACAGGATCTATTTGTTTATTTATCCTTGGCATTTTTAGTTTTCTCCAATATTAAATTTCCAAAGTGTCAAAACTCTTACTTTGTCTCTTCTAGTTTTCTCTTTCAGGGCCTGTGATACAGAAAATCATTGCGTGCATGTTTCTAACATGGAAGTTATAGACCCGTCATGCCATCTTAATATTCTCTATTAAATGTGTATAGTCAGTTTTCACTTCCGCTTAGGGAAGACAAAGACCAAAATGTCCAAATCAGAAAGTCAGGAGACAGGCAGGCTATAGCCCGAACGATTTAAAAGAAATCACGAACTGTTTCAGCAATCAGTCTGAAAAGAGGCGGGATTAGAAGGACTTTGAGGGACAGATCACGCAAGAGTCTATATGAATGACGTAATTGCTCTTAGAAGCGAATGGTCCACCGGCTTTCTCTTGAAGATTTGGGGATTGGTTTTTTATGTTTTCTTCTTCAGCTTCCCCCGCGCGGGAGCAGCTGTAAGAGGCGGGCTTTCACGCTAATGGGAGGATGTGATTGCGCGACGGGCGAGGCGGGGGCGTAACCGGTTGTCCTCTTCCCTTCTCCGTGGCATTCACTTTCTTCACAGTCTCAGCTGAACTGCGGAGGAGGCTGCAAGTGGTCGCGTGGGTTCTCTGTCTCCTTCCCCCGACAGGTGGGTTTTTGCTCTGCGCCACCATTCGCCTTTTAAAGGGCTGATTTTGGCGGATCCCTGTTTTTGCTGTCAGAAATGACTCTTGAGTTGGACGGAGAGGAGCGATGCGGCTTCTTCAGACAATTCTTTTTTTCTCAGTCTCTTGGGTTGTCTTCTACTTCGCTTAACTGCCCCTAGAGTTTCTTTTCCACTGTCCCGTTTAACATCAGTTCGGAATCCCGCGCTTCTGAGCGCCCCGGGAGGAGGAGTTAAAATTCGAAGGGAAGTTAACAGCATCTGAGAATCAGCCTGCTTTCTGCTTCTTTCGAGAGGTTTTGCTGTTTGCTTGGTCCTTTTCCCCCAAATCCCCAGACGTTGCAGTTGCTGCAATCCGATGCCATAGCTTGCCCTCCACCCCCGCAAGTTTTCTGTACTGAGTTGTATCTGATCTAAGTTAGCAAGTTCCTTCCCGCAAAACAAAAACCTATTCATGATATTATACTGTATGGGAGTTCTAAAAGTCGTATTTCACTCGTAAACTTTCATTTTCCCATTGCTTCTCTCTCGGTTTTATACAGGAAAATCGTATGTGCGCAGTGGCCTTTTGGTGGTCACGCACTACGAACTAGAAAAATGTCTCTCTGAAGGTTCTCTGTCTCATTCTGGCAGAACCAGCAGATTCAGATTCTCACCTACTCTTAGTCTGGGGTCAGCTCTTGAATCTTGCGATCTCTGAGCCTAAGCATTGTATGCATTAAAAGAATACATTATAGTGTAGGCCGGGGTGGGGAAAATATTTGAGCATGAAGAGATTGGACAACCATTTGTCTGAAATGTGAAGGGTGTCCTGCCAGGGGTTTCAACTAGAAGACCTCCAAGGTCCCTTCCAACTCTGTTATTCTGTTGGTTCTGTTCTAATTGAATATAAAGTAAAATCAAGCTGTGAAATCAATAGCTATAGCATAAAAGGAACTATATCTGAAAAACTATAAGGATAATGCTCATAGGGCTAAAGTTGTAAATTTACTATAAAAGTAGTCTTTGTACTGTGTCATCTAGAAAACTAAAAGAACAAGTTGTGGTAACAAAACCTGTACAACTAATTACTAATATGTGTCTTTCTGTCTTTCTGTCCCACTGTGTATGAATGCATTTGTGTGCATTCATGTGCACATGCGCGCAAACACACACACATACTTCAATTCAATGATAGACTATCTCTCTCTTGAAACTTCAAAGGCATCATATTTATTAACTGCATTTACGGTACATTCCCAGGTTCCTTTTGCATATCTTGTTTGTTAAATCTTTTTATCTTTCTCCATGATTTGCCTTGATCCAATAGTTTCTGATGAGCTTTCAAATAATAAACATATTTATCCCCAGGCCCGGAGATATAATATTTATAAAGACATTTATGCTTCAGACTCCAGTTTCATTTACAAGAGTTCTACTTGAATTATACCCCCTCCCCCAGGAAAAACCAAACAAAACCTCTTAAAAGTAATTGTTTTAAAAAAATCTGAAATATAGAAAAACTTATCAAGAGAAAATGTTTTCAGTTTCTGTACAAATGAATTGAAGAGAAGATAAATGGATTTCTTAGGTCAGAGCTCCACATTTCTGGTAATGGTGACAAATACTGTGTTTATTATTTGGCAAAAAAAAAAAAAGTCCTCACAAGTTGGAGTTGAAAAAATGGGTAAAGATATTCCTCACTTGCAGAGAACTTTTGTGTATAAAGGAGATAATTTCTGTTCATTGCATTCTTGTAGGTTCATATTTAAAGAGGAAAGCTGAGTCTGGCTACCTTGCAGAAGGCAGCTATGACAGAATCTTTTTCTCTTTTTCCCAGCTTCAGAATTGATTTTCTGGAAGAGAAAAATGATATTTTGATTGGCATCATATGAACATTCAGGCCTAGTTCACATAGCATGACAAACTATAATATTCATTTGATTTGGGCTCAGTGTGTTGCCAAAATTCAACCACTTGTGGCTTCTTCAGTAAGCAATGGTTTAGTACAAAATAAATGCAGCCACAAAACATTAGTTCTTAGCTATTATTCAAAGCCAACTGCCGTCCACAGGCTGGTAAAGGGTCCTGATGACAAAAAGAAAAATTGGCTGTTAATGATTGCAAAGTTGATTATAGTTTGTGACACTGACTCCACAATAGCAGTGTTTCTTCATATCCCATTAACAATCAATTCCCTATACTTTCCTTGGCAATCATGAGGATGTGTTTGCCATTGCCACCTTCTTCTTGGTTGAGGGTTGACCCAGGATCATCCAACTAGCTTTGTATCTAAGGCAGGACTAAAACTCATAGTCCTGCAGTTTCTTATGCTTTAATCATACATCATCTTTACAAAAACATTACTCTTGAATATTGAACTATTACATAAATATGTCTTGTCCTACTTTCTCTTTTTTCATCAAGAATTTATTCCTCTTGCGGAGATATGATTGTTTGAAATATTTTTTTCACCATTCCAAAATAAAATATCCAATTTGTAGAAAAAATGAGTTCATTTGTTTAATTTATAATTGCTAAAAGAAATTTTCTAACCCACTTAACCATACATTCTTCTACTCACTCATGAAAATTTAATCTGGAAATACATCCCACAAAACTAAAAATAGGTGAATTGTCATTTGTAGAGTTCAGTATGATGCTTTCCTGCCTTTCTTCCTTTATCTCTTTTTTATAACTTTTTTTGTTTTAAAAGAAATGCAGATATTTTGTTTTGCTAATTTTGAAGAAAAAGTTTGAAAGCATATAAAAAATTTCTTGTTAGATATAGTGACCTCTTTGTTTACAAAATTTTGTAAAACCAAATAATTGTTGAAAGTAATGCTGTTATGGAAAATGTGTGGTAAACACTAAAAAACCACAAAGGGACAGAGCAAAGTTCTGTGGTCAGGCACAGAAACTTTAATTGCTTGCACACCTTGTTTTTCTTTCCATATTTCTAAGACCACTCACTCTCATTCCATCCCAAGGCAGTTGTATAAGATAGAAAGGAAGAAAAAAACATAAAACAATCAGCCCAGATAGCTGGAAGACAACATTAGGGTTGTATAAAAGAAGTGTGTGTATCTAGTTAACAGAAGTTAGATCCAAATAAGCCTGAATAGCATCCTTTTTCTCCCAAGATAACTAGAGCTTCCTCCCTTCAAATATTCCATAAACCTCTTTAAGAACTTATAGAATACTCTCCTTCCAGCAATTTGGTGGGACATCCACCCTTTTAGCCTTCCCAAAGGAAGATAGACTAAAGTAGAAGAAATAGAATGAAGCTAATAAGATGCAGAGTATCCTAATAGGATGGTTAAGGCTCAGAGTTTGTTTTGTTTTATTTTTGTTCGATTATTTTATAGCAGTGGTTCTCAACCTTTCTAATGCCGCGACCCCATAATACAGTTCCCCATGTTATGGTGACCCCCAACCACTTATACATCACCGGGTGCCAGGGGCGTGGCCAAAGAAAAAGGCAAAAGTAGTGGACAGCCTTGTTTGGTGACCCCCGTGAAATGGTCGTTCGGCCCCAAATGGGGTCCTGACCCACAGGTTGAGAACCACTGTTTTATAGTTACTGGCATTACTATTTTTATGAGCCATCCAGAGTTTATGGTCAGGATGTTTCTGCCAATTTTTTGACTTCTGTTAGTATGGTTCTAGTTGCCCATTCAGTTTTCTTTTTTTATATTTTATATGGCAGTGGTGGCAAACCTATGGCATGGGTGCCAGAGGTGGCACTCAGAGACCTCTCTGTGGGCACGCGCGCCGTCACCCCAGTCCTAGGCCTTCAGCTGGGTTTTATAAAACCTTTTTGCTTTAGGCTTCTGCCACTATGTACAAAAAAAAAAAAAGGTTTAATCAGTCAATTTCAACTTCTCGCAGAAAAAAAAAGATCTTGCAAAGTTGGAATTGATCGATTGAACTTTTTAATCCCACCCAGTCTGCCATTACCACCGCAGCCACGCCCACCCAATTGGCCACACCCAGCCAATGGGCCACACACACCTGGCACTTTACGATGCATAAGTGGGTTTTGGGTTGCAGTTTGGGCACTCAGTCTTTTAAAGGTTCGCCATCACTGTTATATGGTTTTCTATATGTTTCCTATTCCTCAGTTAGACTTGGAATTCAGTACACATCTGTGAGCTGATGTTAGAGGTTCAAAATATTTTAAATTTGTTGTATTAAACCACTTATGACTAGAAGAGACATCTATTGCATCCCCCTCTTCCTTTGTGGTAATTGAGCTTTTCCTCAGTTTAATCAAAGATCCCCCTTTCCTGTATGCTGTAGTGTAGTGGCCTCATCTCATCCTGTATATATTATTTATTATTTTTAACAATAGAAATTCTGGTTTTATGATTCTTCAGAGTTATACTGAAGTAAGACTAGCTTTTATTAAACATTTTTCCTTGTAGTTGGTGTAGTACAGGTTGTCTTCTACTTATAGCAGTTCATTTAGTGACCATTTAAAGTTACAATGGCACTAAAAAAGTGACTTATGACCATTTTTCACATCTGTGACCATTGCAGCATCCCCATGGTCACATGGTCAAAATTCAGACACTTAGCAACTGACTCACATTTATGACGGTTACAGTGACCCAGGGTCATGTGATCATCTTTGAGACTTTCTGAGAAGCAAAGTCACTGGGGAAGCCAGATTCACTTAACATCTATGTTGTTAACTTAACAACTGCACTGATTCACATAATAACTGTGACAAGAAAGATTGTAAAATGGGACAAAATTCAGTTAACAACTCTTGCTTAGTCACAGAAATCTTGGGCTCAATTATGGTCGTAAGTTGAGAACTATCTGTATTATCCTGCATAATTATTCAGATACTCCTCTATTTGTGCCTTTTATAACTGTATCCATTGCAGAGCTTATAGCAAAAGAGAGTTCCTGTAGCCTCCAGGATGTCTTCAGTACCTTTTCTGACTTCCATCAAGCATTGTTCATATAATATAGTTCTCAGCCAAAGGAATAATTTG